GCTCAGTACCATCTTCAGCCCTCGGCCCCTGCCTCACTGAGGGCAGGAAACCCCCTCTGCACTGGATGACTCCAGTCCCTGCTCCCTCTGCAGAGCTCCGCTACTCCTCCAGGTCCAAGCCAAAGCTATTTGGGGCTGCTTGGATAAAAAGCAGTGGGGTTTTGGATGTTGGGGTTTTTTTTTGTGTTAAGATACTACTTGGACACACTCCCAGACCAAAACCAAGCCCCAGCTGCACATCTGTGCCTGCTCATACCTTGCTCCTACATTTCCATCACTCCCAAAGTGCCTCCCTTCTCTCCAGCAGCAGCCACAGCCACAGCCAGACTTTCTGCCATGGTGTCAGATAGCTCAGCTATCTGCATGGCTGCATCGGTCTGTGTTGCAGACTCTGGTGTGGAAGCTAGTCCCAAGGGCTTGGGGAGCTCAGTGTTTACAGGAGGTGACCATCAGGGTGAGCTGAGACCTGGTTTCAGTGCAGGAGCCCCAGGCTGATGAATGGTGCAGACGCACAGGGCAGCACTCTCTGGTCCTGCCACTGCCTCAGCCACTTGGGAGCTGTTGAAAGAGCAGGCAGGCATCTGCAAGTGAAAAGTTCCTTTAGCTTTGGGAAGGGCAGCCCCATGAGAACCAGGATTTGCCCATGTCTAGCTGCTCTGCCCCTTGGAGCTGATCCTACACCACCACACACAAGCTCACGTGCTGTTTCCAGCCTCCCAAAATTATTTGAGGCACTTCTGCAGCAATGGGGGAGGCATGCAGCAACCTGCCCACTCATCTCATGTGCTAGCACCACACTTGTTGGGCCTATAACGCTTGCCAGCTGCTCTGCCTCTTCAAAAGATGCCACCCCACTCCCTGTACTCACCCTCTAATTACAGCTTGGCTATTGCCCTGCTGCGCCTGCAGCTGTGGGCGCTGTCCTGCAGCAGCGAGTGTGGTCCCTTCCCGCCCTGGTGCATGGACCAGGTCAGCACCGAGGGCCAGAGTGCGGAGGCAGGTTACGCGCAGCCCCAGCCGCTGCAGCCACCAGCATCTGGCTCTGCTGAAGCTGCAGACAGCATCCACCCTCAGCAGCATCAGAGCAAAGAGCTCTTCCTTCGGCTGCAGGTACAGGGTAGCAGGGAATGACATTGTCTGCAGAGCAGTGGTGAGACGGCAGGCCAGGGTATGCTTTTCCACCGAGAGGTTTGCTTCATCGCCTCCCCAGCATCACCAGCAGATCCCATTCCCCCTCAGCAACACTTCAACCCCCCATGGTAAAGCCGCGGTCCCGGCTCCCCCAGGGAGCAGGAAGGCGAGCCCTTTCCATCACTACTGCTGAAACAAGGAGTTTCCCTTCCTCATCCTCCAGCAAGAGCAGGGGCACAGCTCTAGACAGAGCCAGGGCTGCCTCAACACCCCTGCCAGGCAAAATTTGGCTGTGGCAAGAAAGGTGCTGGTTTCCACAGCGAGTTCTCACTCGCCGTTGGCTGGAGAGGGCCAGTTTTAGCAGACAGCACTGCATGTTAGTTTACAAACCCAGCCCTGCACGTTTGGCCTCTGTGAGTGTTGTTTCCCCATGGAGCACCCTTCTGCCGTTCCACCTTGGTGAAGACAGTGTCCTCCTCTGGTAGACATGCAAGTTCCTCCTTGGCACATGCGCAGACACGTTTTGGTTTTAGTTCCAGACAGGAAGGTCTTGACCCCCAAGTTTTTCTCACAGGCAGGCTGCTGCTGGGAGCAGCGCTGAGCAGACATGATCCACCAGGACGGTGGCATGGCAGCATGGCCTGCAGCAGGTAGGGAGCACGCGTACCCACAGCCACGTTCGGCCAGCATGCAGCACTGGGCTGGTGGTGGTGTATGCTCCAGTTCCTGCTGCGGGAGCGTTGAGCGGAGAGCTGCCCTATCCCCGTCAGCTGGGCAGGCGCAGGCCCCCACGCGCAGCAGCTCACGTCACTGCAGCCACCGCGCGGCACAGGCCACGAGCCACAAGACAGCACTTACAAGCGTCCAGTCTGGGTCGGTGTTGGTCCGTGGCTGGGCAAGAGGAAGCACTAGATACTGCACAAGGGTAAGAGTTGCACTAGAAGAGTCAAGACCCTCCTCTGTGTAGCAGGACTAAAAACTAGCAGAAAGACCAAAAGGTCTGAGATTTGCTGGTTACAACACTTTCTGTGCTACATGTGCAATATATTTGTTATGAATGTTATCACAAAGTCAGTTCATTCAATAATCTTTTAATCACTGTAGCTAGATGTTCTACGTCCATTCAAGTGACTTTTATTCGAGTGCAATATTTCAATAGACATGTAGTGACCTAGTATGCTTTGTGTTTTAGAGAATCTGTGTGCAGAGCAATGCAATTAAGTTTAAAACCTTGTAAATAAAAGAGGTTGCAAACCAAAAAAAAAAAAAAAAAGATTATTAGGCTTGCATTTAATTTCTGTGAGCGTTTCAGTATTGTGCATTAGGCCGCCTCAGTACAGACCCTGTGTTCCCTGTGCAGGTATTAATGGAGGAGTGGCTCCTCGGCTGTTGAATGCTCCCTGTTACTGCTTTACTGCTTTAACTGTGTTCATTTTTCTAGACTCCTGTCTGCACAAAATGCAATAAATGATTTTATTACATCCTTCACTACTTGCATGGGGAGTTTTCACTTGCTTCCAGGGTCTCCACAGCTATTTTGCACTTGGCTGCTACCATTTCCCTAACAAGGAGCAAGCCCCAACAGGGAGCAGCAGATTGCAGAGGAAGCAAAACATCAGGAGAGGAACAGCCTCTCCCAAGTGCCACAGTTCCCATGTTTAAGCTCACGCAAATTTCTGATCACCCCAGCAAAGATGCTTTACTTGCCTGCGGGGTTGTAGACATGGAGAAAGGGATCTAAACAAAAAGAGACTGGAGGAGGAAAGATGGAAGACAGACGTACTTCCATCCAGTTTCAGGTTGTGTAGTAATGGCAGCTCGAAGTCAAGGCAGGCCAGTGCTAAATGCACAGGGACTTGTAACCCTAACTTCACGCAGCAGCCGTACAACTAACAGCAGCTGCAGCACAGACACCGGACCAGATCGCTCCTGGCCCAAGTGCACCCCCTCCCCTCCCACGCCCAGCAGCCGGAGAGGCTTCGGATCTCTCACACTGGCCCCTGCCACACACTGCTCCGGCGCGCGGGTCCCTCAACAGGCACATGGGCTGCTCTGCCCGAGATCGTCCGAGTCCACTGTGCGAGAGTATCTGTGAGGTACTGCAAAACCAAAGTGTTACAAACTGAGACAGACTACAATATTCTCATAGCGGGTCACAGTAAGGTTCGTATGCTTTCTGCTTAGCATCCAGCGCTGGGCAGCGTCTGACACAGCTTATCTGGAAGAAGAGAGTAATGGCAAATGCAGTGGAATAATGTATTCCAGTAGTACTCAAGCTGTCAAGTGTCAAAAATGCAACAAAACGTTTTTCCTGCCTTTTTATTAAAAAGTAATGTCCTCTTGTTAACAGCACAGAGAGAATGCTACAACACAAACCACCTGGGACAAAGAAAATCCTCTGCTCCAAGAACACTGCTTTCTTAGTTTCTTTTGGTTCTCTGCAGGAAGCCTACAGACTCTAAGAAGGCCGTGATGGGGAGGACCACATAGTTAAGAGATGTTTTGTATTCTGGTATCAAAGTATGTTACTGGTTAAAAACACGGTGAAGAATCACTGTCTGATTTTCCACTCAACTGTCCGCTACAGCTACCAAAGTGTTGAAAAAAAATGTATAAAATTATGGTATTGCATCTTGGCACTGCCTCTGCACCTTAGATGGACAAAATAGCCATCAACAGCGAGATGAAGTTTCAGAGAGCAGACATTCACCACCTGGTAACTGGTTGCAGGTATTCCCAAGGGAGGGCCAGTAGCACATCAGCGTGGCTGCGACTGAGCTGTTGGGCTACAGTAACCAACCATCCCAAAGCAAGATTATAAGAAAAGGAAATTTATACACCAAATTTAACAGATTGATCTTAACACTGACTACTTGGTGTAGGAAAATTGACAGACCATTTGAAATCTCTGCCTTGGCTGGAAGCTCTTGTGTTTCAGATCTGCCACAGTACTCAGACCAAAGCTGCCAGTTTCTGTGAGCTGGGCAAGGTGAGGAGTGTTTCTCTGCCTCACTCTGCCAGGACATGACAGTCCAGCTACGGAAGGACCAAACGGCACGGTCCTGGGTTACTGAGTAGTGGTCAGGCATGTGCTTCATGAGTTCAGCTGCTAGCGCTACCACTGTACTTTCCAACTGGCTTATATGCTATTAAAAAAAGAAATAAAAAAAGAAATCCAAAGGAAAATAGTGCCCATTCCAAAAAGGTGGGTCTCCAAGAAGGCCCAGTCAGTGTACCGCTCTGTTCAGTCCCCTATTTCCTCAAAACCACTGACCCAAAACTATACTAAGACCATTCAGTGAGACCAGACTGCACCGCAATGTGAAGATGCACCAGCTACTGGGAGAGAGGAAAATGCAGAAGGACTGTCATTGCAGCAGCTTCTGGGACTGGACAAAACAACCGATTATCCAAAGCGGCTCTTAGCACACCGTGCCGCTGAGAAAATAGAGCATACTTGTCCAAACACTGCTAACCAGACCAAGGTGAGGAAGGGCAGCGCTAGCAACAGTCAGCAACAATGCCACTGGGGGTACACTCTCACCAAAGTGGAGAGGACATGCATATCCAGGGGCATTTGTCCCATGTCAAGGACAGGAGACTCTTTAAACAGCTGTTAAGTATGGAATGGCAAAGGGAAGGGGAAAGGGCCTGACAGCTCAGCTTTAATAGTGTCGCTGGTAGGAACCCATAGGTTGCTGGGCTGAGGACCCTGCTCGCCCCTGGGCCACAGTTTGGCTCACTAGGTGGGAGAGTGCAGGACCACTCTGGATAAGGGTGTCCAAGGCTTTCTGTACACTAGGGTTGTCAAAGTTAATACCAGAAGATACTGGCCTTTGAGCAGGTACATTGCCAGGTGCAGGGAGGCGATTTTGGTGCTGACCATAGAGTGACTGAGCTTGTGGAGGAGCTCCAGGTCTTGGACCTGCATTTCTTGAAGGGCCTTGGAGAGCAGGAAGCTGCGTGCTTGGAGTCTGCAATCTCTGCTGAGCCTGGTTTAAATTTCCAGCACTCATCTGTGCTGACCGGGCCTGACCGCTGGCCATGTTAGCAAAGTTCTGGTTCGGAGTGCCACCCGAAGTGCCCGCAGAGGCTGCAGAACTGCTGTTTGCTACTGCAGCTGCTGCTGCTGCCGCCCCGCTGTTGAAGAGACTGAGGATTTTTGCTTGAAGCTCCTGCTGAGGATTAGAAGAGGACACTGGAACAGAAGGAGCAGAGACCAGAGGCTGTGAACCCTGATGAGCCTGAGAGCTTGGAAGGCTGGACTGACTACCCAGAGATGATCCTGAAGGTGCCCCCAAAGACTGTCTTGACATGGATGCTGGGAAAGAAAGGAAAGAGGGTTAAAGCTCTGCAAATGCCCTTGAAGGGGCACCTAAAGAAAACTAGTAAAACAGCTACCAAAGACACAAGCATCAATGAATACCCACCCTCTGAACAGGAGAGCTGCACAGCGCTGGGAAACCCAAACCATTCAGCAGAACTGCTGCCCTTCGTGCAGCAGCCAAACCAGTTATGGCAGTCCCATGGTTTCCCTGAGAGAATCCAATATAAAAGTTCTTTCACATGAAAGATCTGAATCATCTCAGGACTCCCAAGGACACGTCCATCTCAATAAAATGAGACGCTGTGAGAGGAAGTTATGACACCAGGACTCCTCTGCAGTTCCAGGACTGTTTTCGGGTCCCAGCCCAGAGGGCCCACAAACCATTTGATTAATAGTCTTGTCTGGGGCTGAGAAACTTACCCTGCAGAGAATCAGAGCTTCCCCTCAGTAACCGTTCCTTCCGGTCTCTCAAGTAATTAATTACTTTATCAGTCTCCTCAGCAGTTAGATAGCGATTGTCTGCCAGCAGGTTCAAGAGAGTCTGAATCCCTGGAGGGTGACCTCCTCTGACACCCTCCTCGACGGGAGGTGGGCGCTCCCGCTCCTGCAGAACAGCTTCATCTGCCATCTTGGCAGCCTGCCGGGCAATTTCCTCACGCTCCTTCTCCCGTGACTCTGTTTTGTAGCGCTCGTAATTCCTTGCCACCAGCACCATGGCATCAGCCTGGGGCATGTTGCGGTGTTCTGCACAAGGAAAAGAAACTTTTTAAGTAAACCAAAGTGATGTGAACAGGAGGTGCCTTGCCTCACACACACCAGCACATCTCATTCAGCAGGCAGGCGCCGCTTTGGGATTGCAGGCATAGACTTGGGAAGCTTCCTAGGCACACAGCAACAGTTCAATTTCCTAAGCCAACAGAAGGCTCAAGGCTATCTCCCAGCAAGGCCATCCTTTTCTTCCATAGCTGAGGGCTCTGAGAAGATATCATATCAGTCCAAGAAATATCTTTCTTGCCCCTAACCCAATTAAAAGGGAAAGCAGCTTCCTGTACCTCTCACATAAATTCTCCGTGCTCCAAGAGGAGATGGTTCCAGCCATTCTATTGCTAAAGCCTTGGACAGATCCAAAACGTGCCCTCTGAAGGCTGCTAAAGCTTCCCAGAGCAGGGCAATGATGGGAATACTTTTTGGTTCTGTACTGCCAATGCCTTAATATAGTGTGTGCGCATGCAGAATATGGGGAGGAAACAAGTGCTGGCTCAATGCCACATTACTGCTTATGTTTACTACTCTGGGGCAATAAGCAGCAATCAAGTTCTTCTGTAATACAATGAATAATGGTCAATTCCAACTTTTTTTTTTTTTTTCACTTGCCTTTTAAAGTTTTTTGGGGTCTTTTTTTCCCCTTCCCAAGGCCCCCAGGCAATTGTTCTAATACAATGAATAATGGTCAATTCCAACTTTTTTTTTTTTTTTTCACTTGCCTTTTAAAGTTTTTGAGGTCATTATTTCCACCTCACAAAGCACACACGCAAATAGTCCCCTGAACACAGATTTAAGCAGGAAGAGCAAAAGAGAAGGCCTTTACCTTCCAAAAAGTGCCCAAAGCTCTGGGCACTTTTTACACCTGCAGATCATCAAATCCTGCCACCCTTTTCCTCGTAACAGGAAACCGGGGTTCATTTTAACATTACGCTTTGCACAAGTTGTGAAAGAGTTCCCTGAAACTAATGTGAAGGGAAAGGTGGCCGCGTGCAGTTCAAGTGAGTGTATGTAATCTCTAGAAAGAGCTGTGGATGAGCTAACAACTGGGGTTCTTATCAGATTTGATACACTGTTAGATCCAGTAAAGAAGAAGAGAAGCTTTGGCGGGAGGACGGGTGTTAAACCAAAGAAGTTAGAGTTAAAACCAAGGGTAGTGGAAAGCCCAGTGAAAGTGTGCGCGAGCTGTATTTGTGCAGGAAATAAGAAAACCCTCCTATCACATCTGCATCTGATGTTAAAAGAAACTGGGCTTATTCAGTCAGTAAGCACACAAAAACCAGCGCCTGTGCTTTCAGAAGTTTACTCTCCCAGATGCACCTCACAAAACATTACTTGAGAACACAATAAGGGAGAAATAACCTGATCAGAGCAAAAGGCTGCTTTCCGAGATCACATTCTGGCAAGACCTTTTTTTAATACCTACACCCACCCTCACACTCACAACAACCAAGTCACACCCTGAGATGGAAACTGATGTGACAAGTGTAAATGGCGCTAAAATGCTATAAAGGTGGAGCACGCACACCAAATCACTTTATAGTTGTATCTTTTTATAACTCTTCCCAGTTTCACAATCAGATCTTTACCTTGACCAAATACGCTTTTCCTTAGATCACATTTGGTTTTAAAATCTGTCCTGTAATTTGTCACATTCCAAACATGCTCTCTTTGAGAGCAACAACTGATAAACTGAGGTTGGACTAGTATTACTCAGAAATCTACCAAGGCAATGCAGTCATTTCTAGAGCTGGGGTTCATGACTTGCCCTAAGATGCAAAGGCTGGTGATGTTAGGTGCTAAGAACACAGCCGAGATTCTCTCTTGGTAGAAATTAGACAGTCCTTTGGACAAGGGACAAATAAAGCATTATGGAAACTTGTAAATAATGATATTCACATTTATGACATGGTGTCAAGTCATTAATAACTATTTATGTCACAGCAAGGATGAACTTTGTCCTGTGGGATTCTGCTTGAAAGAAAGTGTTCTAAAGCAGCACTTTGAGTGGTTCAGAGTGACCACAGAGCTACACAGCCTACTGAGACCTCAGTACCTTGTGGGGTGCCAAACATGATGTTAACAGTGCAAGAGCGGTGAACTTGATGCTGCTGGGTGATGACAATGGCAAAAGGAGACCCTCCTCTGCTCACATCGTCCAGGGCTTGCGTCAGTGACATCTCTGTGTTGAGGAAGATCAGGTCCACTACCATGCCCAGATCCCGCACCTTCCGCCCCACTGACTCCGCGTACTCCCTACCACAAAGCAAAGCCAGCAGAGTTTAACAAGTCAGTCACATACAGAAACAGAAACCCTGGCACATTCACCCTCTCTGTCATCTCAGATTCGCTTTTCTGATGGCTTGCCAAACTTTGTAGTCTTTAACAGGACAGTATTAAAGCAATCTCATTGCAATAATATAAAAGTCCATATCCTACCCTTATTTTAATCTGAATCAGTCATTTCAGTTTAACTGAAATAGATTACAAATCAAGCCTCAGCTTAGCTGAGAAACAGTGTTTGCAAAGGGATTTACATTACTATAAATTTGCTTGCATATAAATGTGTTTAAACTGAACTCATTAAGTGAGGTAATTTATGCCTGCAGAGATCTAAGGGGTACACAGCAGAGCAGCTAACCTACAGAAGTCAGTTACTTGTGCTACGTTCAGTATCTTAACTGTTCAAATGCGCCTTATCCTAATTCACTGTAGCACAGACCAACTTCTGGACTTGAAGATTAATTTTCAGAGGATAACTACCAATCCATAAACATTCACTTGAGTTCCAAATACATTTTCTCTTGCTCCTGCTCTTTCGTTCTACTAGCTGCTTTCTGCTCTAACCCAGTATCAACACAGCATCTATAGATCCACTGTTCCTGTATCCACTGTCCTGCAGACTTCCCATTCCAAACACAAACCATAGCTCACATGGCTGAGCTTAAAGTTTTCAAGTCTTGTTTTAAGCTTACTATACTCAGCACCAAAACTGCAATACTGACTGCATATGCATTCTGAGAAATTTAGTCTGTGTGCACCCACACCTTTTGAAAGAGGTTCAATTTATCGTCTTTGGATGCGAACATTGTAACGGTGACTAAAACTGCTCCCCCCTGCCAACTGTCTTTTTAAGGATTTCTAAGTTACACCGATTGCGTATCCAAGTTATTCGGGAGTCGTTTTTCAACAGGTCTATAGTAGGTGACATCAATACTTCAATTCCTAAGATTTATTAACATGCTCCAGCTCTTAAGGTTTGCAGCTTGTTACAGACCAAAACGATCCTTAGGATATTAAGCTGATCCTCTTGCACAAAAAAATTCTCACTGTATCAAATACAATAATTTGTGGTCTATTAGAATATCTTCTAAAGACTTTTGGCCACCAAGGGATAAAGAATCTAAAATTTCCTTTCAAGATTTGTTCCAATAGGTAATCAACTCCATTAAAAGCAAACCACAGAAGTGTATTTCTAGTTTCACTGCTTCCCTTGTTCCCATTTCCTGTTCTGTCTTCTACCACCGGATCAGTCAAGCGCCAGCTCTTTCTGCCTCACAGATATAGCAAAGTTAAATAAAAGCAACTCTTGATCTTTTTCCCGAAGGGCTAAGGAGACAGAGCTTTAAATTTCCCCTTGACAAACATTTTCTTCAGACCCCAACCCAGATCTACGATTTATTTACATCTTTGCCATTCTTCGATATATTTATTTGTAAAGATATAGACATCAGACTAGTGCCATCATTACAGGCCCCCCTCCCACTGTACCAGCCACAGGTGTACCCCTCTGTTCCCAACACAGCACCCGCTCTTCAAACTAAGGACATACTAACATTTTTGATACAAGTCCCTTCGACTCCTAAAATTCTTTTAAGTTCTTACATTCCAAGAGAAAGCACACCGTTCTATAGGGATGGCCTGCATTTTTGTTTCTAGATAAACAATCTTGCGTTTAGCACAATAAAAAGACACATTGTGTTTGAGTGGGGACACCTCAGTAAGTGTTCAGACTGCCACATGAGATCGCCCTGGTTACTACTTACACATGCTTTTGGTATCATTCATGACTACTTTCAGCAGTGATTTTCTACTTCTTGCACGTTGGATTAACAGTATTGACTGGTATCTGACCTAGTAACCAATCTGACAGGAGCTCTGAAACAAACACCCCCATGACTCCACCCTGACAACTGCTCTGTACTATCTGCTGGTTGGCACATATTAATAAGTTCCATATTGTTCAACCCATGAATAACAAGTACAGGCCACTATAACCTGTCACGACAGTAGGCTGATATGAAGAGTAGGTAGAAAAGTATGAGGAGAAGGTATAGTGATAGGTGAACAAAAAGGAAATAAAAGTAAAGCACAAGATACAACATTTCTCCACCTCATCAACATACACTCTTAGAACAGCAACAGGAGCTGTAGCATTCTGAGGGCTCTAAAGCCACGCTCCTCAAGAGCAACCTGTAAGACCAACAGCCTCAAGGCAGGACTAAGTTTAATTCCATTTTCTTCTACCATGCAATAATAAAGTCGGTCATAACTATTTTCTTACTTCGTCTGTTTATTCACCACTATCACAGAACAATCCACAGGTCTCTCTGCATCAAAACGTCTCTTGATCTCCTCGTAGTACTGACGGTACAGCTCCTCTCGGCGCCGCTCCTCACGCTTCAAACGGTCTGAAAGCAAGCCACAGGGACAGAATAAATAATGCCCTTTGGACCTGCTCAAAGCATCACAGAACACAACGCACTCAGCACTGCAGGCATCTCCCGCATCCTCCCAGAGGGAGAACGTGAATCTGCCTATCATAATGTTACAAGTACTCACCTTCTGAATTCACTGGTGCTCTATCAAAATGCTCTTTGTAACGGTCGTAGTAAGAGTCATCCTTCCGCCGATAGTAGTCTTCAAGGCGAAGGTAACGGTCATAAGCTTCATCTCGTCTGCAACATTTACAGAAGAAGCAAGGGTTTCCATGCTCCAGCACAATCTCAGGCAATAACTTTCGCCAATGCATCATACACAGATCTTCCTCAAGTTTAATTTCTGAAGTACCCACCTGCTCCCCACAAGACACAAAGCAGGCACCCAACTGCCCCCAGCCAGAGCAATTTCCTTATCTTAAATACCTGACACCACTCAAACCAGTGCAGCCATTGAGGCAGGATCGCCATAAAAACATGTTGGCAAATACAATCCCGCGGAAATTACCTGTACAAAGGGTCCCGAGGGTCTCTCATATCCCGTGGATCCCTCATATCCCGTGGATCCCTCGCATCTCGTGGATTCCTCATATCCCGTGGATCCCTGTATCGATCATACAGCGGCTCCCGTGGGTCACGAAGATCTCTAACATCACGAGGGTCCCGCAAGTCTCTTGGATCCCTGATATCCCGTGGGTCTCTCAGGTCCCGTGGGTCCCTGTGGTCTCTGGCGTCACGCATGTCTCTAGCTCGAATGTCTCGAGTGTCTCTGGAATCTCGCCCATTTCTACCATCCCTGCTATCTCTGGGGTCTCTCCGTGGGCTCCCCCGAAGAGGGGAGCGGTCGCGTCTGGCATCTCGGCCATCCCCGTAGGCATATGGCTCTCTGAGGAAAACACCAGGTAAATTCCATTAGACTGCTAACAACATGAGTAGCGTTACCCCTAGATCTCTTACCTGAGGTGCCAAAACGACCCTTTTCTCAGCAGCTGAATCCTCCCTCCTATCCCACAACAGCAACAATTGCCCAAAAACGTATTTGTTGAAGCAGCCTGGAGAAGCTTCTTAATTCCAATGTTTATGATAGTCAAACAAGACCCAGAAAGCTCCTTAATGGAGCATCACTAAAAGCATAGAGCACCTGTGGAAGAAGTGAACAGGCACCTCAGAAACCACCGTTTCAAGGCCTCCAGCCTCCAATGTCAGCCACGGATCATCTACCAAACATGTTTTTGCAAATTCTTTGAGAGAATTCAAGGTGCTGGAGCCTAATACCCACAAATATGCAATAGCCAGGAGCATTCAAGGGATCCATTAAATTCACTAGCCAATGACAGCAGAATACCTGAAATAATTAGTTATTGGCATACGATTAAAAAAGGAGCTTGTTGTCAAAGACACTGTAGGTTCCATGTTGTCGTTGGGTTTGTGCTGCTAGCAGAAAGCAATGATAGCCGTGTCCTGGATTTGAAGGGATAGTTTCCGTAGAAAGCCAGTCTAAAGTTTACGATGCCCCACGTTAAGAGGGTACTAAACCCAATCAGCATGGCATCCTCAGCAGCAACAGGCTTCTCTCTCACATCTGAATGATCCATCTCATTCAGACTTTGTACTGCACTGTCTTCGGAGGCAAGGAAGAATAACATTCCAGTCTTCATCTTTTTCCAGAACAGTAGGGTTTTTTCCAGGTCATATTTTGTTTTCCAGAAAAAAAACATAACTTTCACTGTAGTCTAAGCCAAACATAAAAAAAAAATCTTGCAGAGAAACTACTGAGCTTCACGTATTTGGAATGTTCTTTCCCCAAGATACTGACAACCATGGGAAAAAAAACCCAGCTTTTTGAATCTTTTTATTTCCAAAATCTGACAGACTTTTAGAGTCCTCTACCAGCTTAATCTAGTTTATGAAAGATAAGCAGAACATAAGTCTGCTTCCACTACAGCGCATTCACGTAGTAGTCACCTGGAGAGAACAGCAGCAGCAGCGAGTCAGTTGCACCCAAGTTCAGTGCCAGGTAAAGCGGACAGTAACGAGATGGATGTGCAGAGTCTGTGCATGGACTTTGGTGGTTAGACACCCAGCTGTGCTGGGGGATACACAGGAGCATTGGCATTCTCTATTTTTATGTCAGATACAAAACAGATCTTGGGACAAACTACAGTGTTGCCACCAAGAGCAAATATAGTCTCCTCCTGTAAAAGAAACACTGTATTTGCACACAAACAAGTGTAAACTCCTTCAGACTCTTGGACACACAAATCTGCTTTTTGTTTGTGATCTGTATTGAAACCACATCCCATGAGAGAGACACATCATTGCCCCCTTCCCCCAGCCTACAATGAACGATGGCAGAAACTCAGGGGAAACTTCTGATTTGCTCTAATGTATATTGAGTAACTGATCTTTCTGTAGCTGTAAGACTATATAGCAAAACAGCCAGATGCAGTGTAATTGTTTGGCATATGACATTTATTCCAGCTGGAGTGGGGGTGACCAGAACAGGCCACATTCATTATCCGCAGACACAAAAAGATCCAGAATGAACAACGCACAACTGCAACAGAAGTACAGATGTGGCGCGGGTCTCCTCTGCTCTTGCACCTGCATCGCTGCCCTGCTGCTTGCAGAGGCAGCAACATGAAGGCACAGCAGCTTTTTGCTTCCGCACCTCTGTCACCACAGTCCGACTCCTGCAGCATCAGCACTACTGCCCACATCTGCTCGGGACTCAGTACCGCTGGCCCAGCACCACCGCCTGTGGCGCAGCATGGGACTCCACATCCCGGCAGCAGCAGCTGTTGTTCACATGCCTGCAGCGTGGTCCAGAGTCCATCACCTGCTGTCTGTGCACCCGCAGCCATGTCCAGGGCTCGTTGCCCATGACCTCATCACCACCTGTGCCCATGGTGCTGCTTGGGACCTGATGCTAGCAACAGGGGATGGCCACGGTGTCTGTAGTGCCAGCTGGAATCCAGTGCCTGTCACAGTGGCACCAAAGCCTTCAGCAGCCATGGCGGTAGTCCAATCCACAGGCCGGTGCCCACACCTCCAGCACTCCTTAGGGCCCGTGACATGGGCATCTGCTCTTGCATTCACACAGCATGACACAGGTCCCAATGCCCATGGCATCAGTGCCTACTGCTTGTCCCTCTGCAATGTGGTCTGAGGACCAATGCTCATGGCATAGGTGCCTGCCTCTCACACCCACAGTGCTGCCCGGCGCCTTGTGTTACACACCTGCAGTGCCACTGAGGCCAAAGATGTGCCATCAGTGCCTGCTGCTCATGTACTTGCAGTATTCTTGGGGGCCTCATGCCAGCACGGAGCACACCTGACACTGCCCAGGCCCAAGGCTTGCCGCATCTGTAACAGGAACCCCCAGCTGTGTGCACAAAGCACTTCCTGGGCAATGCCCACACACTGGTCTCTGCAAGCGCATTTGGCTCTGTGCAGGGTAAGCGCACAACATACAAAAGACCTAGATGATGCCAAGAGCTGCAGCTACTCATTCCCTGGTTTTTGCTGGTAGATGTCTTGCTAGTTGCACTTTTCACCCATTTTTGGTAATTTAACAGGTCAAGTTAGTAGAGCACACCAGATATGTGAGAGCTTGATTACTTTCAAGTCCAACACCTAACACTCCTTTGCGTTGAAAGCTTTACAATATAGGCATAGAAGATGCACGCCTTATACCAAACTGTAACCACGGCATGTCTTCGTGTGCTCCCTAGTAATGCCATGGAAAGGAAACTGAAGTTGTCTTCCTGTGACAGGACAGTCCACGTCTTCTCCACCTGCCTGTAACTTCACACACAGAGGATGTGCAGGAGCTGCACACACTGTGCCTACCGAGGGGTGGGAAACCAGGAGAAGCTGCCAGGTACACATCACTAACTGCACAGAAGGGGACTGGTTCCAGGTACTGACAACGCAAGTACACATACAGACGGGACAGTGCAATAGAGACAGTTTGCTCTGTCTTGTGCTTCGCTCACGTGCTCTTTTCCAGTCTCATTTCAGCACTAGAAGCTTCCAACATCAGAAGAGGCAAGATCCCGAAGTCCTCTGCAGCATGGCACTGGGAATGCTACAGCCCCATGGCGTTCTCTAGATATGCCTCAGCGTCTCTGATACTTGAGGCAGGAGCAAACATCAAGTGTATTCTTCCTCACAAATCTCTTACAACCTGTGCTGCAAAACATAACGCTTAGCTGTAGTAACAGCAGCAGACACGAGGTTTCCCTAGTGCCTCCTGAGGTGTCAGCGCCAGAAGGGCTCTTAGAGGTGGAGCGGCCATGTCCCGACTGTCTCGCTTGAGCATCTCCATTTGACTGGGGAGGTGGTGGTAGGGAAGAGACACAGACATTTAGCACAGGCCACTGGGCTCATGCCCTAAAAGCCTGACCTTCCTAGTATAACTCACTGCTTCCAGGTACTTTACCTTCGTGCCGGACTGGACCTTGATGAAGCCTTATTCATATTTCTTCTTTCCACTGCTTTATTAATATCTGTAAAGAATAATCAACCCATCTGTTCAATGCTATGGAACAAAAAAAAGATCATCAGCACAATTCAAATGAAAGCAACTTAAGCTCAACAACAGCCAGATGGTGCAAGAAAATCCATTCAGCAGAGAGACATTGTCACTTTGACAATTTTTTATTAAGTTTAGATAGTACAACATAATGAAATTTTCATGGATTTCTCTGACTTCAAAATAGGGTGGACAGCTTGGGTGAAGCTTTAACCCTTTACGTTCAGGCCTACATCCAGACTCTTCATTCCATAAGAGAACCTCTTTCTTCTGCAGTCTATGAGCAAGCAGAAAGCGACTCATGGACTCTAGGAGAAAAAGCAGAGTCTGAAAACCTCCGAGAAAGGAAGCTGATGGCCAGCATAGTCTTAAGTTCACAGCCAGTCCTGTTCAATGGAGCATGCCGCTACCCTTGTTGAAAATAATCCAAGGGTTCTGAAGTGGCACATGCAACTGCCTTCCAAGGGACTGCTGCAGCATTAAGTTGTACAGCCTCCACCACTGAGGAAACGGGATCCAAGGAGCCTGAAGCACAAGCTCCTTATGAAGTCAACATGGTGCATTCAAAACACCACCGTCAATGTGATGCAAACTGATGCAACAGATCAGAAATTTGAAAAACGGTTGGCTTCTGAGCATCTCCATGAAAAACACCATGAAGTGAAATACAAAGAAGTAAGAGAGCTGAAGAAAGAGTCTTGTCCTCAACCAGAAAAAGTGAAGTTGCCCAGAACTGGCAGGGACTCTTATTGTTCTACTGTGAAGAAACAAAGCCTTCCGTAACAGCTGATTGAAGATGAAATAATGTACTGGAGGGGGGCAAGAACAAACAGAAATGACTTCAGACATTTTACTCTGAGAGCCTTTTTAAGGAAAAGAACAAAACAAACCTAGGTCCTACCTGCTCCCTGAGAATCTATCAACAATTAAAATTTCTTATTAGTTATTTACATTAACCGCTTTCAAAGCCCTTGCAAGAGAATAAACATGCCACAATGTCTTTAGTGGCATGTTTAGGCAGACTCAGTCTTAACATCTTCTGTAACTTCCCAAACTATCCTTCATTACCTTCAAGATTAAAATTAGAATTAAGGGAACAGTTCTAATTTTGCTCTTGTTGTCAACCAAGCAGCAGTGTTTTCTCTTTTTGTGGGGGGAGAGAGGCAAGTGCAATCTGAACATTAACTACAAATGCAGCATAACAACATTCACAAGACCACAAAGCAGTCTCTCCAGGATCAAATACAGCTGCATTGTCTACTGTCACAAACTAAATTTGATGGACGTTTATTCCCTACA